CTAAAAGCGAATTAGTTAAGAGATAATAATTACGCTAGCACATTGATAAACTCCCCTTTTAATTGATCTACATTTCCTTTTAAGTGAAAACTGAAACCGAGATGTTGAAATTCAAAGAAACCCTCGCCAATCGAACCTTTTTCAGTGAGTTCTTTTCTGGGAAATCCAGACTGGCAAGTGGAATACCAATGCCATATCCAATCGATCGCTGCAGAATAATATAATTAATCGAAGAGCCCGTGGGCGAGCAATGTCTGCGATATCGGCGAGTGGGTGTCACTTGAAATTATTTCCAATTTCAATTACACACAAATAAAGCTAGAAGTAAAATACTATATAGTGAGTGGAGAAACGATAATTCAATTGAATTTCTCGCTCCTAATTTGGTAGCGTGGCCAAGTGAATCAGCCCACAATGCACTGCAATAATAATATCTATGGCCTGGCTATATAGAAAATGACGCAGTCAACTGCTATTTTGTTGTAGTCCGTTGTTTTTTTTTTTGCCATATACACACATATACACACAATGGAGAAACATACAGACGTGTAATCAGGTTGTTGTCATGCCAACCGACAAAACAGAAACTATTATAGCTGCACTCACAACCCCCAAGAGTCGAGTTTTTCAGAGTTTGAGTTCGAGCCTCAGTTTGGGTTTGGGTTTGGGTTTGGGTTCGGGCCTACATACTATAATATATCGAACATAGTACAGTGCTACCTGACGCCCGACGACAGGCGACGAGGGATGAGGGGCAGTGGATGGGGTTCTAGTATAGCCAGGCATTTCATTATACTGCTGCGACTTTCACGATAAAGAATTTTGATTGGACTTGTTTGTTTTACAGCGTTAAACTTCTGTTACTCCAAGCACTGCGAGTTATAAAGTGCTTTGCCTTAAACATTTATTTAACAAAAGGTCGCTTAAAAATATAGGAATTACGGAAACATATCCTCATGGCTATGTTTTATTATTAAAAATAAAGCTTTTAATTAGAAAACTGTAGCCGCATAGGAAAACTATAATTCAATTGATTTCTCTCTCTCTTCCTATTTTTACCATATTTTCTTTCGGTTTCCCAGAGGCAAGTGGGAAATGCAGATGCCAGGGGAGATTAGCTACAAAATGGATGGGGAGGGTTGTACGTGTGCGTGTGGTAGGTCCACCTTAAATGGTTTTTTTTTTTTTTTTTTTTGGTCAGTCTGCTGGAAGGCCTCTCACATTGCCTCATAATTGGCTTGCATTTTCTCGTTTTTCCATTCGACCAACAGCTGCAGCTGTGAAAGAATTGAAACGTCGCGGGCGAAATCGCAAAGATATAGTAACAACAAAACACATTTTAAACTAAAAGTAGTTCAAGTTTGAAATTCCAATGTGATCAAAATGATTCTCGTTATTACCTTTGTTTGCCAGCTTTTGCTTTAACAAAAATGAAAGCATTTCCGACCTTCGCTCATTAATTACAACCGACATTTCACCGCCAGCAAAATGCCAGGGAAATTCTAACAAAATTCCATTGACCATAAAAAGAAACTGGCCAAGGTGTTCGCCGCTTGTATTTATCGATTATTTGCCATTGTCAAAGCTTGGCCCCAACATAAAACCCATAAATAAGCCACCTTCCGCTTTTCCAATCCCAGCGAAATGCCGCTCATAGTGTTGCTGCCATATTTTCAATGTAATTATTGACTTAAACCAATTAGAGCGCACTTAAAATACGCTAACAATTAGCGTGAGTAGAAAAATCAAAAAAATTTAACCGCAAAAAATGCGCAAGCGAGACGGCAGCAACAAAGGAAGAGCGGGAGAGCGAGAAGAGAGGAGAGCTGGATATATCTTTTTATGACTAAATAATTTACAATTGTGCAAAACTGGTTTTGCAGTCTCAGTTTTGCCGCTGCCGTTGTTGCCACTTAATGCCAAGAATTCAGCAAAAGCGACAAGAAAAATGCTCAATGAATTTTTTTGTTCCACCTGGGGTTTATGTGCTGTTTTTCTCTGTATGCGTTATATTTTTCCCCGGTATCTCTGGTTTCCCAGGCAAACAAAATAAACAAATGAGGAAAGAAATGAGCTTCTGCCCCTCGCTTTGTTTGATAAGACGTAACGCCCACTAAAGTTGAGCTCGAACAAAGGAATCAAAAGGGCATATCATATTGCTTTTAGCGCAAAGCCGAACGTAAAGCTATTTTTTTATGCGATTCTTGTAGGTTGCGAATCGATTTGCAACATGGATCCAGTTCGTAGAATATGGCAGACTTTTAAAAAGTCAGTTTCAAGTTCATTACTGGCACTGCAACGCCTATGAGCAAACAAATCAGTCGCGTTTCTAGACGTGACAGGTTTTGCCTGAATAACTTTAACTTTACTGGGCCAGCAAACCAATATGTGTTTTTCTTGACCTTGATTTCTGAGACCTGGTAATTGCAAAGGAATTTCTCAATATCGACCTAAGATCCTATGGGTAGATTTATCTAAAGTTGCAATAGGTCAGTTGGTAACACACTATCATTCCACTTGTTTTTCGTATTCTCGTTCTCCTTTTTCCACTTCGCACTTGCACATGTTGGCAGTAAAAGATAATGAAACGAAAAGCGAAAAACAAAACAAAGCCACTAGAAACAAAAAAACCCCGATCGCACCAGCTGCAAAAAAGAAATACGGATTCGGAATAGAAGAAATAAAAAAAAAAACAATTGTATCTCATGTGCTCGAAGAATTTGAAGTGCAGCTAGCTGCAAGTCATTTGATTTCGTTGATCTTGCAAAAAACAAAATGATTCATACAGTCGAGGTAAAGCAAATAAAAACAATTCTAAATTCGTATACTGAATTTTTTTTTTTAAATTTGATTTTGAATAAACTTATAATATTGTTCAAAACAGACATGAATGACAATACAAAATTAATGATTCATTGCTTGATAACGTTTCCTGTACATTATATACAAAAAATGTTATTATGCATAAATTATTTCGGTTGTTCAGTTCTCAAAATGCGAAGAAAACATTTGTAAAATGTTGTTTAACTACTGTTTTCCCCGCAATTGCATTTGCTTGGGGAAGCATTAAATTGCATAATTAGCAAGTTGGATTTGTTGGTGGTTTGCTTGGGGGTTTTTCGGCCTGGAAACGGGCGGCGCACGTGATCGCGAAATGGAAAGCGTCTTATCTGTTGGTAGTACCACCTCTACCCCGTCTGATCTGTTTGTTTCCCCTTTTTCTTGCACTTAATTGCAGCTGACACAGTTTCGTCTTTTGGCCAGACAATGAAAGCAAACGAAAATTCACACACGTTGCAAAAGATCAGGCACCACACAGGTCCCCCATTCGCCATTTTCACTCCCTGATCCCCGCGAGATCCACAACCACACCGGAAATCCACCAGAGCAACTCGTCAGGTGAGGAGGAGCCTTCGGATTCGGACTATTTATGGTTTGAGAAAACGCCTAATTAGTGGATCTTTTTCTCTAAGCTGCAATAAACAAATTATGGCGTTTATGTGCCATGTAGTAGATTTTTATATATATGTGCAATTTAATAGCCATACGAGATTCTTGTTCTTTGGAATCGGATTGAATAAAGCTTGCATATTGGATAAATGCTTTTTGCCCTGAAGCTCCTGTAAGAACCTTTCCCACATTCCAATAGGAAGTTCCAATTTCCCAGGGCGCTACCCATCTACATAATGACTTAATCGTTTCGGCAAGCAAAGAAAAACACAACTCATAATCATTATCAAAAAATATAAAGAACCCCCGCGCTACGAAATTGATTTCGAATCAGAATTTTCCCTGGAAAATTCCGGTTGAGTCGAGCAAGCCCTTTCCTTGAACATTTGATTAATTACAGAGGACCCCAACGAATTTTAGATGTTATTTCTGATTAATTAAGGCCTCTCTCGCTTTCGCCCTGTAAAGTGCATTTGTCGACCCTTTTCCGCTGGTCTTTCTGTCGGGGGTTACCTGTTGCCTCGCCCCGAAGAAGATTGAAATCGGGTTCAAACGAGTTCAAAATGAAATAAAAATGTTCTTTTGATTCTCGGCTGACTTTTATTATAATTTGAGTCTTCTGTTCCCCGTTTGAGTTCTCCTCTTTCTTCTTCGATTTGTTGGTTGTTGTTATCATCTCGCGCTGTTTTCTTTTTCACTCCGTCACTCACTTTTTTCGGTTTGTTTTTATGGCTTCGTCGGGGCCTGGCTTATCATTATTTAAATATTTTACCTAGACTGTGTTTCTTTTCGGTCCGATCTTCGCTCTATCTCTCCAACTCACTGCCCCCATCCCTTCGATAAGCGCCGTTGAAGAGAACCTTTTCTTGTTCGGTTTAATTCTATTTTTTGGGGTTTTTCTTCTGTAATTACATCACTCTCAAGTGCAGCGTTTCCGCTCTTGAGAAAATTGTTTACGGAACTGCCGAAAAATTACAGAGTTAGTTTTTTGGTTGGTAACCTAACCACTCGAGAATGCAGTCGAAAAAAATTAATTAAAAATCGAAATTTAGCTAAAACAAAAACAGGTTACAAATTATACGTTTATAACACTTAATTGCCAACACTTGCTTTTTTATTACATTTTTGTACTAATAAATCAAATTATGTAAACATTTCAACTTGCTAAGATGAGTTAGTATTACAAGTATTCAGTTCAAGAAAAAACAGCAAAATAGTAAATTATTCATACTTTTTACAGAAAAAATAGTTTCGAGTTTATTGGCATAAATAATCTTATTTTGTCAGCATTTTTCCGAGCTAAGCAACCAATAAATTGTATCCAACAAATTATAGGAGCGGTTGTTACCCATAAAAAAAATTAATATATTTTTGTATAATATTATTGTAGTCATAAACATTCTTATTACATTGTTGTTATAGTTTTTTGCGAGCTCCTAATAATATTTTCCACTGTACAACCGTTTAATAACACAATTACTGAAGTTGATTTTTTGTTAACCTATTTTAGCCAAATATATCTCTGGTGTTATATAAGGTGCATCCCCTACCTTGCCGGCTGCTTTGATGTAGCGTCGCGTGGCCTCCTTGACGAGATCGCTGACGAGGAGTTCGCCGGAACCGCAGGGCACCAGGATGCGAACGTCGCCGAAGCAGACGGTGACCTTCATCTCGTACTTTCCGTGTTAATGATAACAATTATCTTCTTTGAAGATATACAATATTTGGATCGCTGTAATGCACTTTCTATTTCGCGCACAAACACTTTACACTTTATTATCGATTGTTCGGTTGAATATTTTTATTGTTGGAATTTTTCCTATTATTACTCTGTTTTCGGTTACTTTTTGGATTTTTATGCTCGTCTGCCTGAAGCAGATCGTTGTTGTTGTTGCGACCGCATCATCATCATCGCTTTTTGAGCTGTCTCCCTTGCTCCTTGGCACTTTGTTGTTGGTCGTTAGGCAGCTGCAACAAAAGTTGGTCTAGGGCGGCATGGGTGCGAGCGAGATGGCTGCGTGCCTGGAAAAAGGATCGTTTTCCAGTATGTACTTGTGTTCGTATACGAACTCTGTCTCGCGCTCTCTTCCTCTCTCGATCGCTCACTGGGAACTTTAACTCTCTTTCGCTATTTACTTAGCATATTTCACCGTATCGCTCCGCCGTTGTTGTTGTTATTTGTGTTGGTGTGATTCATACACGCGCGCATTAAAAACGAGTTACAACAACGCAAACAACGCGAAAAGGCCAAAAGGAGGAGCAATAACAACACGGCCAAGATCGTTTATTTACTTCTTTTCGACGTTCTTTGCTCTCACACTTGGCATTTGTTTTGGTCATATATTGGCATACATTTTAAATTACGGTTTGATCAGTTTTTACTCTCTTTCATTGTTGCTTTGTCGTGTTTTTCGTTTTCGGTTATCTCTCTTTTTCGCCCGCTGGCGTCGCTTCTTCTTAAATCTGTGTTAACACTTAAAATATCGATAAATTATATTCTCGTTGAGCGCCACTCTTATTAACGATCTATTTGAACCCAAAAAAAAAAGCAAAAAAATCTGCCGCGCCGAACTGCACTCTGCGCATCGAGTTTCGAATTTCTCAGTTTTCCAGCCAGTGTGGTCGCGGGGTTTCGAATTTGGCCAGAGAAGTGTGACCAAGCAGATTGGTGGCAGAAAATTCTTGTCTATTGATTTCCTAAAAAAGCCCTACGCCAAGACTTAAACCTAGCAAAATTGGATGGAGCCCCAAATTTCAATCTTCCCCAAACTTTTCCTATGTCATTATCTAACCTTTCAAACCTAAATTTAGTTTAGTTCAATAAAGTTTGATTTTAACTTATAAATGTCAGAATCCCAAATCATAAGTCCTTGGGTGCAACATTTTTAAGCAATGTTTAATTTAAATGCTGATTTGTTGATTTTTGGATAATTTACAAGGGTTTTACCGTGAAAAAACTGCTGAAAATGTAGCAATCAAAATTGTAAGGGGTACCCCTTAAAATATGTTAAAATGTTTAAATTATGAATTTGAAGTCCCAGTATGCCTTGTTGGACCTAAAATTCAAATATATGTTTTTAATTGTGTTGCTTTATAGAATCTCCCACAACCGATAGTTTAACGGGTAACTCACGACCGTGTCCCATCACTAGCGGCTTGCTGGGCGCCAGACCTTCGTTGCCATCTCTAGTACATTTCGCAAAACAAACCAAATCGCGCTCCAAATTTTAATATTACCTAGCACAGGACCTACTTCGATGGCAGAACCCCGCCCCGGCGCCTATAACTACAAGACACTGCTGTAAGTTCAAATGATATCTGATTAAAACGAGGTGCTCACCACAAAATGCCACCCCCGCAAACAGATGCACAAACATTCCGGAGCTGTTTCTCGATAAATATGTTGCGCGCTCGCACTTCGGTCGTTTCGGCAACCTGATGAACTTCGTTCTGCGCCCGCGGCGGATGACCTGCACAGTAAGCTACGCCACTGAGGAGGAGGCTGAGCGGGCGCTCCTCGAGGGCGGAACCTTCCAGGGCCACCAGTTCGAGATGTCCTACGCGGAGAACGAGACGGCACCGGCACAGAAGACCGAGGAGTGGGTGGACCCGGACGTGCAGGCCGAACTCAGTGCCCTCCAGTCGGGCTGGCGGAGTGAGTATACGGCTGGGAAATCCCTGAAATCCACTCCAAATCCTCCGCCAGTTGCGGCAGCGAACGCAAAAAATGCCACGCCTGTCGTCAGGGAACGAGCGTCCGCCCAGGTCCAGGATCTGGAGTCCGTGATGCGGAGACCGGCGCACACGAGCGAGGAGAAGTACCGCGTTCTCGATGCCCGGGACAAGCTGCTTCGGCTCAATCAAAGCCAAAGGAAGCTGGCGGGGGCCACACAGGGTCACTGCCCGGACATGTGCCCGGAAAAGGAGCGCGTGCTTAGGGAGTTCCAGCGCCAGGTGGCCATCTACGAGCTGCAGCCGGGCTCCGATGAGTTCATCTGCCACGAGCGAGCGCTCAAACAGTACTCGCGCAGCAGCGCGGATCAGGAGACGCCGTTGCCGCACGAATTGCGCAACGAGGCGGCTCTGCACATGACCATGAGCTACCTGATGCACGAGATCATGGATATCAGCGAGCGGCGGGAGAACAGCAATCTGGGCGATTGGTTTCACTTTGTGTGGGATCGCACGCGGTCCATCCGCAAGGAGATCACCCAGCAGGAGCTGTGCTCGCTGGGCGCCGTCAAATTGGTGGAGCAATGCGCCCGCTTTCACATCCATTGTGCCGCTCGTTTGGTGGCCGCCGATCCCAGTGTCTTCGACAGCAAGATCAATGCGGAGAATCTGACGAAATGCCTGCAGACGCTGAAGTACATGTACCACGATCTGCGACTGAAGGGCGTCCAGTGTCCCCGCGAGGCGGAATTCCGTGGCTACATAGTCCTGCTCAATCTGGCGGATGCCAACTTCCTGTGGGACATTGGCCAGCTGCCAGCGGAACTGCAAAGCTGCCCGGAAGTGCGACAGGCCATCCAGTTCTATCTGGCACTGCAGGACACGAACTTTGTGCGATTCTTTCAGCTGCTGATGGACGAGGAGACCAGCTATCTGAGTGCCTGCATTCTGGTTACCTACTTCACGCGACTGCGCGTGCTCGCCCTGCACCGTTTGATCCAGGCCTACAGGTCGCCGCGCAACAACGAGGTGTCCTCGCTGCCGCTCACCTACATCACCGATATGCTGAGCTTCATCTACGAGCAGGAGGCAGCGGACTTTGTGCAGCATTATGGCTTGGAGGTCAACGAGGCGGGCAGGGTAGTCTTGAGCAGAATGCACGCCACGGAAACGGAGTACAAGTTGCCGCGACAATATGAGGTAAGTGCAGGCATCTTCAAATGATTCATCTTTTGTCTGATTTTGCCCGTCTTATTTGCAGCTGGTGGAAATGAAACGCGTGAAGAGCGTGGGCGAGGTCGTTTGCGGGGAGCCTTTGCCCCCGAAGGACTACCTCAACCACCGACCGCACAACAGCTTCAACGAGCATGGGCTGCTCAAGAGCGTCGCCTGGTCGGCCAAGGATCAGCTGCCTGGCATGCAGCAGCAGCAGCAGGAGGAGAAGGCGCAACCCCAATTCCCGGCACAGCCACAGTCACAATCACAATCCCAAACCCAATTGCAACCACAAGCACAACAAACAGCTCAATCGCAGAGCGATAACTTCTTCAAGGTGCCCATGCAACCGGGCGGAGGAATGACACCTGGCTTTGCCGCTCCGGCCACTGGCGGCTTCAGCTTCGTGCTGCCCAAGTCCCGCGCCCAGGAGCAGCAGGAGCATGCCCTGGCCGAGATGCATCGTCGGGCGCAGGAGGAGGCCAAGCACCAGGCGCTCCAGCAGGCGATTGCCGTGGCCAAGCAGCGCGAGGCCGAGCTGATGGCCATCCACAAGACCAAGGTGGCCGAAGCGGAGCGGGTGCGCCAGCAGAAGCAGCGGGAGCGCCAAGAGCAGCAGCGCCGCCAGGAGGAGGAGCAGGAGCGGCAACGCCAGCGGGCGCTCGAGAAGATCCAACTGGAGCAGGAGCGGCAACGGCAGCGGGCGCAAATGCGTCTAGCGGAGCAGCAGGCGAAGGAGGCACGCAAGAAGACCTTGACGCTGGAATGCTATCAGCAGATATTCGAGGAGGCTCTGGCGGAGATCTGCCAGCGGGAAGTGCAGCTGCACAGGCAAACCTGCCGCTCGTACGACTCCCTGGTGGACTCGATAACGCAACGCCTCGTGGAGGAGCAAATGCAGCAGTCGATGTACGAGTTGGGGATCATGCGGGTCTATATTCGACGGTGGCGGAACTATCGGCGAGTCCAGCAGCAGAAGGACACGCTGTTCAATCAACTGCCGTTGAGCTTTGGCGCCGATGCAGTCGATCGCTTGGTGAACGAGCGCTGCGTGGAGGATTCACTGCGTCTGATCAGACGCTATCGCCTCGGCGAACCCTGCGATTATGGCAAACTGCTGACCGGCCTGGACGAGCAGAGTTGGCTGAAGCTGGATCTGTGGCGCGTCTTGGATCAGTGCCTGCCGCTGGCGCAGCCGGGCGCCAGGCGATTCTATAAGCTGGTGCTCAGCTTGCCGGGGAGTCGGGAGGGCTTGCAGCTGAACTACGATCTGGACAGGGGACTCCTGCAGCAGCCACAGTCGCCGGATGCCCAGATCGTGGCGGGTGGCTACATCAGGGGCTTCGCCCAGGGCATCGGACTGAGTGTGCTGAAGATCCGAGATGGTCACCCCGATTGGAAGGCCGCCGAATTGGCCCACGCCAACGGCATCATTTGCCTGGCCGGTCTCTCGGATTTGAGACACCTGGCGCAGCGTTTGAGGCCATTGATGCAGGCCAGTCACTGCCAGGACGTGGCTCTAATTGTCCAACATCCCGCTCACAGGGTGTTTGAGCACTCCGAACTGGATTTCCAAGGATTGGGTGTGCGCCGATTCAAGATTTTCCCCCTGCGACACTCGGCCAACTCCCGGCAACGTTTGATGGCTGAAGTGGATGCGGCTGTCAAGTTTTTGGCCCGCGGAGTGGAGGGGGAATCCGCGGGACAGCTCCACCAAGTGGATGTACGCGAGTTTGTGCTCGGTAATCTGGGAGCGGAGCTCTTCCGTCGCCTGAAGTACGCCTCGGATCAGGACAGAGCCATTCGGAGGAGTAGCCAGCGGTGTCCGCAGTTCTGTGCCGATCTCTTCAACGAGGCAGTGCGTCGATTGCAAATGGTGGCTGGCGAGGATGTGAGCGATTGTCCCCAGTTTCCCGAGGAGCTGCGCGTGTTCGTGCAGCCACTGGCCATCGATTCGCCGCTGCCCACCAATCGCTTGGAGTACTTTGAACCCGGATGGCAGCTGCCGGAGAAGCGGCATCGCATTGTGCAGCTTTTGGAGCGAAGCAAACTGCCGCGATTGCCGGAATTGCGGAGCGTTGGCACATCGCCGGAGGAGGCGCAATGCCAGTGGGTTCTGGACTGCGCCCAGGTGAGCCAGCCGGAGGAATACGTGGAACAGATCGCCCTGCAGGCCATCAAAATACTGCAAGCCAACGAGGAGGCTGGCTACCTGAACTTCGTGGAATACTTGGCGAGCGAACGAATGCAGTTTACACTGCGCGAGGAGAAGGATTTACCCAGGCGAATTGTGTACCGAACGAAGACGATGAGGAGCCGCTTTCTCGGCGCCTGGTACTACGAGTTCCAGAGTCCGCAGATGTGTGAACCGGCTTCACCCGAAACGGAATGCCAGGAGCAGGGATGGGAGCACAGCCCAGTGCAAGAGGAGCAGGTGGCAGAGGCGGTGGCGGTGGAGGAGGAGGAGCTGGACTTTAACGAGATCATGAGCAAGGCGGAGGCTGTGCTCAGCAAGTGTCGCCGGCGCCAGGAGGAACGCCACACCCTGCGGGACCTAAATCGATCACACAAGGCGAAAAAGAAGCACAACAAATCGGAGAATCACACTGATGACGCGGAAAGTAAACCCAAACCGAAGCGCATGCGGTCCACCTTTAAGTAGTAATTCAATTGTATAAGGTCTATGTTTTATTGTACATCCCATTTGATTTGTAGATACCATGTAGTAGAAGTCTAAGTCTAGTCTAGGTTTTATAATTAAGAACAAAATTTACTAGTCCTAAGTAGACCCAAAATCCTGACAGCAATATTATCAGCAAGAGCGAGACGAAGTGGCAGCCGCCAAACGGAGCGAGACAGTCTTAAGAATATAGAAGGAATAGCTAGGTATTTTTTATGTAATTCTAGTGTTAATTAAATAAAGTTTTTACCAAGATTCAGTTGCTTGTTTACCATATAGAGTGGGCCATGCTCTACCAAACGCCAAGTGTCAACGCTTGATAACCCTGTCACATTCAGTCAACTAAACAGCTCCGAGGCGAAAGCATCCATTTATCCAAAATATTTGTGTTTCCGTTTTTTTTTTTATTTTGTTTTAAGGTTTTTTTACCATTCAAAAACCACACAAAAGGATTTGCCTGGAACATGAAGAGCATAGTGGCTCAGACGGGAAACCAGATGCGGCCTCAAAACAGTGAGTGAATGGGAATGTGAATCCATTTGCCTTTGCAGATTAGAAATATATTTATTTAATTTTAAAATTAATACAATTATTAATTTGTCAACTCCCTTTGTAAGCAAATAATAAACGCTAGCCTAAATGAAAAGTGCATCAGGCCAGGTTTAATTTTGATTATTTATTTATTTATTTATTTTTTTATTTATTTATTTATTCTCGGGTTTTGATTATATACAGTCGACTCTCGTTAATTCAAACCTGCGATAATTCGAACCTCTCTATAATTCAAAGTTATCACGAGGTCCCTACGAAATCTCTTTATATTTCGAACTAAATCAATACATTTTCATACACTTGGTAATTCGAACGAAAAAATCATTGATATTTAACAAAACCACGCGTTAATTCGAACTCATCAGCGTCTAACACTCGACAATTCAAAGTTGCAGAGAAAAAATTTTGCGACAAGTTCAAACTTGCCTTTGTTTTTGTTTTGATTATGTAGTTTTTGACGCACACACTTCTTACGAATTGGTTTGTGTAGTTATTCAGTTACTGTTACTCTTTCGTTGGTAGGTATGCATATTAAAAGTTGGTGTTAGCTATGAGCCCTAGAAAGTATAAAGAACCTTTGGCAGAGGTGTCAGTTAAGGAAGCAAGATCCTCATTTGATACCTTACAAAGCTTATGTCTACAAAACGAAAGTGGTGACAAATTATTTCATGCACTTTTTCTCTTAAAAAAAGTTATTGAGCAGTGTGAGCAGCAGAACTGTGCTTTAAAGCAAGCCAGCATAACAAAGTTCTTTCGAAAATTTCGAAATTTCGAACCATTTGATATTTCAAACACTCGATAATTCGAAATATTTCAAGAGTCCCTCGAGTTTCGAATTAACGAGAGTCGACTGTAATATGATATTTGATTGATATAATTATTGATATATGTATGTATTGATTTTGATTTTACCCATTCAATGATTCGCAGTGACCCGCGTGGTTTCGGTGCTGAAGGACACTCGCCGGAGGTGCCTGAAGTCCAGCGGTGCGGTCTGCAACCTGCTGGCCCAGCTGAAGGCCACTCCGGTGGAGTTCCGGTGGACGCCGCACCTGGCGTCGTTGGTCCGACCGCCGGACACGGACACCTACCAGACGCTGTGGCGTCCCTACGTGAACTTCAACACCCGCCTCACCCGCAAGCTATCGGGGGCAATGGAGCGCCGGGGATCGAGCATCAATTTCCTGGGTCGCAGCCAGTCGAAGCACGGTCCGCATGCGCAGCCATCCATCTCCGTTCTGCCGGTGCGATCCCGGTATGCTCCCAAGACAGTGCAGGGTCGAAAGTGGCCAATTTGGCGGCAGTCGTCGGTGCGGCCGCTCCTCCTGCCGTCGTCCAATCTGTGGACCGGCGTGCTTAGCCAGCGCTTCTATGGACCCCGTTTGCGTCCCGCCGAGGAGGAGGTGGTGGAGCGACGCCCGGTGCCGCAGCTGCTGGTCACCAAGGAGCAGAGCGAGGAGGAGGAGCTCCAGCTGCAAAGGAGACGCGACACAGGTCGAGTTCGCCATCACCATTCGGAGAGTCCCCTGCTGGAGCGAAACGTAGAGAGCGACGAGGAGGAGGATCAGGGTGAGCAGGAGACGGAGAGGGTCAGGGAGAGGGAGAGGGAGCACCGGGACAGATGCAGACGACCCTACATTCTCAGCGAGCTGATGACCCCCGAACTGGCGACCAAGTGGCTGACCCGGGAGCCCAGGTCCCAGCCATCCGCCCAGATGGTGACCCAAACCTGGACAAGCGGGAGTCATAGGAGGCATCGCTCGCGTCGCTCCAGCTGCGAAAGGAGCCAGGTGGTGTCCGAACTGGAGGACTGGCGCAGATCCGCCAATCACCAGCCAGTGCCCATTTTCCAGGGCCAACCAGTCGAGCAGGAGCACCTGCGTCACGCCAGCTGCAAGACGAGCGCCAGGAGCATGAAGGACGTCCAAGAGGTGAGTGAGTTCTCAAGCTTAAAGAATTCTAAAACATGGAAAACAGTTCTTTTGAGTATATTATCACAAAAGTTTTGACATCTAAAAAGGGTTGAGGTCACCTTTTTTTTATCAAACAATTGCTTGAAAGATTGAAAGCAGTTCTTTTGAGAATATTATTACAAAAGTTTAGAGATCTAAAGAAGCAGTTCTTTTGAGAACATTATTACTAAAAAAGGGTTGGGGTCTCCTTTTTTTTATCAAACAATTGCTTGAAAGATTGAAAACAGTGTTTTAAGAATCTTTTTACACAGGATTATAGATCTGAAAAAGGGTTGGGGTCACCTTTTTGATCCAACAATTGCTTCAAAGATTTAAAACAGTTCTTTTGAGATTCTTATTGCCCAAGATTAGAGATCTGAAAAAGTGTTGGGGTCACCTTTTTGATCCAACAATTGCTTATATGTATATAGATTATATAACCACTCATTATATATTTTTTTAGATGGTTTGGGAACCGAAGAAGCAGAAGCCGTGGAGTCGCTCCAAGGAGACGGCGAGCACATCGGGACCCACAATACCCACCATCCGAGCGGCGAAGTCGGCTCTTTTAATTGCGCAGGAGTCGCGTGGCAAGCAGAGCCGGCTGATCACCAAGGAGCTGGTCTACAGACCCGATTCCTCCTATTCCTCCGATTCCTCCGAACAGGATGACCAGGCGGCGGACCACCATCACCATCGACGCCATCGTCGTCATCGTTCCACTGGCGGAGGAGTGGTGGAGCGGGCGCTGCTCAAGGAGCACTTTGCCGACTTGCTGTTCATGGACGAGAGCAAGGGTCCCTTTCGGATTGGCTACCACCGCAATGCGCCCACCCGCCAGCTGCTCGAGCAGGGCAAGTGCCATGTCTCCCTGCGCCGGGAGCAGTTCTTCCACCTGCAGCCCGTGCGTCCCAACTCCCTCATCCAGGCGGTGGACCTGGAGGTACGGGAGTCGCCGCGTCAGGCGGTGACCACGCTGCATCGTCGCGATGGCGCCAGGCGTCCGCGTCCCGTGGAAACGGTGGTCAAGCCATCGCTGCTCACCATGATTCGCCAGGATGCCGTCACCTGGGAGAAGAAGAAGAAGGGCCGGCAGACGGCAGACCAGCGATCGAGTGCGACGGGTGCGCGTCCCAAGAAGGAGGCCTCCATGCGGCGCCTGGTGCGGAATGCATCCTCGCTGGAGCTGATCAGGCAGGCGGCGACCACGTCCATACCCACGCCCACGCCCACAGCCACGGCCACGGCGAAAGCCACGGCCACAGTTGGTGGAAATAGGCCATCGCTGGTCAACAGTTACCACAAGGTGATGATCAAGAAGCTGCCGCTGGTCAACAGCCAGCTGGATCTCTGCCAGGCGGCGGCGCATCCCTTCAAGGATCTCGAGGAGCCGCGGACCAAGGAGAAGGAGGTGGCCACCAGCTGGAAGCAGGCGAACGCGGCCAGGAACTACAAGTACGAGGCCTCCACCTCCTACTGGAGTCGGGCGAATCCCGGCAAGAAGAGCTCGGTGCGGGACATGACCGAGGGCTACTTCCTGGCCAGGCGCAGTTCCTCCACCTCGGTGAAGGGACAACAGACGACCTCGTCCCGGAAGGTGAAGCCGCCCAGGCAGCCGGTGGTCAATAGCAAGGTCCAGGTGCCACCACCTGTTTACCGCGAGCGAAGAGCGCACGAAGTGCAGACCAGCGAGGAGGAGGAGGAGGAGGAGGAGGACTACCCACTTTACCCACCCTACCAATCCCTGAAGGCCACTAAGTTCCAGAGATAAGTCATCATCCTGGGGTATTGGAAACCGACATACATACCACATGTTTTTACAAACAAAACCCGGACAAACGGAAAGGCAAATCCACATTCGAAGCGGAATTCCAAATTGAGCAGTGAACACTACAAATATACACAATACATACATACATATGTACACACACACACACATCACACACACCTCGTGGATGATCGATGCTCCTCCCCGGAGATCACCTCGCCATCGGTATATCACCATAATCCACTTTAACACTCCACTATCCACACAAATCCACGCATCATCTGCACGAATTGAAAATTCCAAAGTCGGATCCGGAAATTTGCCTCGAAAATTTGCACTATCATCTGTTTTTTGGCGCCCACATCCTTGGTAGTTCTTTTTTAAGGTAGCATCGTTCTGGCATTGTTCTTTATTTTTATATTTTATTTAACTTGCTTTTTCTTTTTTGGAGAACAAGGGAAACTGTTTAAATTGAGGCATAAGTGTTAAATACAAGTCAAATTACTAGAAGTCAAAAAATAAACAATGTTGAATGCTTAATTCCAGATAAACAGTTGGCTAAAAACATTATGTTCTGCGGTGGCATTATGAAAAAAATCTAGAACAATAAATTTATAAAAACGGAAGAAAAGGGATGTTTTGAATTCAGAAGAGCTTCTTTTGATTGGGTTTCAAATAAAAAATTATTCAATAACCCTCTTAAAATTCTTCCAATATTCAAAGAAACTCATCCCGAGATGAAATAATTTTAAAGTTCAACAAACATCTTACAGGAAAGCAGACAAACTATGACTAATCGAACGATTAACCGTAAATAAATATACATATATACATATATATATATATGTAGGTTTGGAAATAGGTAAACATGTTTATCATAATTGGCTCTGTTTACCAACGAATTTCAACAAAACACAAGCAAATTGCAATCAAAACAAAGGAAAAGAAGACACGTGACGGAAAACCGCAGAAAAGGTAGCAAATATATGGGGGGAAATGAATCGATTTGCGTATTTATAGAAGTGCACCTTCATTAAGCGCGCTAGACTTATTTTTGGCAACTAAAAACAAGCCGCATTTCACAATGGAATGCAAAATGCATTTTCCAGACGGGCGAAGGGGGAAAATCTTACACGGTTTTAAAATTAGTTTTGGCAAGGCATAAGAGGTCTAGAAAAATCTAGACAAATCAATCCAAGTGTGAATAATCAATATTTTACAGCATATTTTACCAAGCTTTGAAACAGTTTAACATTGTTGAACACAAACAACTTATTTTTTCCATACTTTATAACAATAAAAACTCATAAAAACTTTCTTTTGTTTTGGCCCACATTGACAGCCCGAGGGTTTTAGTTTTCTTAGTTTTTTGTGGAAGAGGGTTTCATTTGGGCTGCCAATGGGATTTTCTATTTAACATTTCAATTTGCACTACAATAAAACAATGCTCTCTTTTAGATGCTTGCAATTAAACAATTAAAAACTAAACGAGGGGTTTGGTAATCCGAGGGAGTCTTCCGAACGGGTGTTCATCCTGGTGTTGGCCAGAGGTGCTAGTCTACCGGAGACGGATCCTCTACTGGAGATGGTGGCTCTGCTTGCACTGCCGCAGCGCCTCGTTGAATCCCTCGCAGAGGGTCAGATCCGCCTGCCCCTGGGCGCACTGGATGAACTGTTTGAGCTCAAAGGCGCAGGCACCCTGCGGTTCGTTTGGCTGCGCTTGCTGGGCATAGTACGGCTGCTGGGGGGCTGGGGCCGCGGCTGCCGGAGCGGGAGCAGCTGCCTCCTTGTCGCCGGATCCGCTGAACAGCGAGGTCAGTCCGTGACCGACAGTGTGTCCAATTGCCGATCCCACGGCCACGCCTCCGGCGGTGGCAGCCATCTGCTGGAACATCGACGGCTGCTGGGGTGCCGGCATGCCGACGGCGCTGGGCGGAGCGCTCATAGGCGCCGGCGGTGGGGGCGGGGCAGCGGCACGAGCCGGCACTGGGGCAGCAGCGGGCGCTGGAGCGGGAGCACGGGCCTGCACAGGTGCGGTGCTATTGAAAAGAAAAGAAAACAAAAACAATATCAGTTGTTATTCTGGACTTTAACCCGCGGCGCACTGTTGTTGTTGTTGTTGATTATTTAGTGACGAAATATGAGGTCTTGGAGTAAAAATAAGCTATGAAAAGTATATGTTTCAATCGGTGTCTTTTTTAATTGAAAAAAGATCCACAACTTTAGGAGTAACTCTACGGTAACTACCGGCGTTTTTCAAAACTTCCTGCACTCGAAAAAAAGCCAGATTTAACGGGAAAAGCGCTAAATCTGTGGCACTACTAAAACATCTCATGTTATTGGCCTTTTTTTTTTTTTAAGGTTACGTAACCTTAACCCATTTTAGGGCCTGGAAAAACAAACAACGTATAGCGAAACGCTGTCCATAAGATAAAGCCAGATCATCCGATTGACTTGGCCGTGATTACGAAATGCTCTTCCTGCCGCGAATCCCACTACTTTTCATTATTTTCTTCCAGGTTTCTTTATTTTGCTTACCGGCGGGTGGAGGGCGGGGGGCTGGCTGAACGTCCACGACGAACCATTTTGTTTGTTTTAATTTGTTTTTTTTTTAACGAACGCTTTCACTCAGAAATTTCACAGTTGTTACTGTTTGGACTCTTGACTTAAAAATGACGGGCGCCTGAATCTTATATCTGATTCCGGAATTTCAAAGCGACGAGAAGCTTCGACCGTAGAGGTGGTACTATCGATGGTGTTGATACATGCAACCGATTGTTTTTAGATAGTCACTACGGAATATAATAATCAATTGAAATATTAATTTATTTTATTTTCTTGTTGTTAGAATAGCTTACAAAACTAAGACCAACAAAGAAAGTTGCAGTACTAGCTGCTGAGGCCATTTACTGTCTGAACTTTTTTTATGTGTTATTTACAATGGTGTATAATTTACAATCACAATTTTACGATTTTTTTTTTTCATCGAGGAATTAAATTTTATTATACAGTTTGGTTACTTTAAGGAACTCTAATAATTTTTTATGATGGCTTTATGAGGTAATATGTTGCACTTCTGTTTTTAAGAATAATATTTTTAAATTGGACTATTGCGGGACATAAGATAAGATTGTGTTTGATAGTGACTGGGGAATAGGATTGGCAGATGGTTAAATAACACATTTTAAGACATTTATCCATAAAATTTGACCACTTTTTCAGAAAAGCCACAGTTCTGAACATTTTCCCTTAAACCAAACAAGCTATAAAACATAACAAGAGACACATAAAAAATATCATCAATTAATTTTTTTTTGGGGTGACCATAACACAGCAGAGAATGGCAAACATAAATATATTATCTTTCTATGTGACTGGCAAATCAGCCAAGTTGGGCATATCGATAGAAGCTCTAGTCATCGTAAACGGAAAAACGACCCAACATTAGTTCTACATAGAACAAAGTCAATCCGTATTCATTTTCTATTTACTTATTTTTGTTATTGAAAACAAAACAGGTTAGGAAATGTAAGTAAATCAAGAGATAGTCATCAGCTGTAGCCAGCGTAAGGCTATCGATACCAAGTTTGCTTCGCATCCCTGGCGGGTGAAATGCAACCCTGTCTTATCGGCGGAAACGCTGCTCTCTGGCGTTGCCGCACACTGCCGTAACATGTTCTTTTTCAGGCGTTTGCCTTTGCGCTGACATCGTATCTCGATTTCTCTGTGACAAAGTAAGGGATTTTAACCGTTTAACTGTGTGGATTGGCGCCAGAGTTTTGCCAAAAGATGGATAAATGCGCGGGCCAGTTGTGGATACTGAGGGTTTTGTGAATTTATTGCACTGTGGCGCGGAAAACTGCAGTTTACTGCAAAATGAGGTTAAATACGGGCGGCTTTTTGTTTCTGTGTGTGTTCGTGAGTGCGGGTGTGTGTGTGCGTCACACGTGTTTGTTTCACCTTTTTTTTTATATTTTTTTCTGCCCACTCTAAATATATAAATAAACCGTGAACCTAGGCTTACTGACCTTAAGGACATCAGTTTTTATATACAACCCCTTAAAAAGTAGCCAGTCAACAACAACAACGCGTGTGTGTATTTGTGCGGTAGACGAGCCTGTGAATATAGCGCGCATTTACTGTTAAAACGTGTTAAAAAACAAATGTTTCATAAATTCCAGTTTATATTCTGCATCTATTTTTTTTTCTATCTAATTTTTACTGAAAACTACAAACTGCAGTTATAAACTTTGGTTCATAAACAAATACAAAAACACGTTTTATTTCTTTGATTAATGTAAAACAAGCTAGAGATAGCACAAGATTCAAACAAAATGAATTGATAGCAAAACCCTCAAGTATCCCATTCTAAAATATTAAACATGTGACTCACAATTTTTTTAATGCCCAACCCCGAAACCTTTTCAGCATGGCCGAAGTTGCTGAAAACGTGGTGGAGAGCTTCGAGGAGCCAGCGGCACCTATGGAAGCCGAGGTCGCCGAGACGATCCTGGAGACGAACGTGGTGGCCACCACCGAGCTGCCGGAAATCAAGCTTTTCGGCCGCTGGTCCTGCGACGATGTGACTGTCAACGACATCTCGCTGCAGGATTACATCTCGGTGAAGGAGAAGTTCGCCCGCTACCTTCCCCACTCCGCCGGACGTTACGCCGCCAAGCGTTTCCGCAAGGCCCAGTGCCCCATTGTGGAGCGATTGACCTGCTCCCTGATGATGAAGGGTCGCAACAACGGCAAGAAGCTGATGGCCTGCCGCATCGTCAAGCACTCGTTCGAGATCATCCATCTGCTCACCGGCGAGAACCCTCTGCAGGTAATTGAGAACGCCTTACATAAATCCCAATCCCTTGACGAGCGTCTCATGCTAAACTGTGGCCAGAGATCATTGCCACTCTGCCATGGGTAGAATGGGAACGCAGAGAAACCCCAAAGTTTTAATATCCTAGTGCCTGAAGATAGCCAAGCCTCTTCTCGTTCTCCTGGAACTTAAAACTACAAAACAATGTCAATACACTATTATTTTGGAGGCCTGTACCTTTAAGTAGTCCTCCTCAATGCCAGTTGATGGTTATTTCCAGCCGAGCTGAGCATAAACTCTTATGGACTCATAGAAAGCGGTCCTAACTATCCTTGTGCTCGAAGATCAAACCACTTCCCGCTCTCCTGGAAATTAGGACAACATTTTTATCGTTCGATTACCCAAAAGATCAGGTGTTTTCATGAGTCGACCTCAATGCTAGTTGAAGGCAGTTCCATCCCAACTAAAGCATATTTATATCAGACTCAGATGGAACAGTGTTAACTATCCTTGTGCTTGAAGATCAAACCACTTCCCGCTCTCCTGGAAATTAACACAACATCAGAAATGAAGTATTTGTTCAAGGCATCGGTATCCGTCCAAAACTAAAACTGCAGCGTTGATTTCGACAGCGTTGTGGTATTCAATTGGACCACAGGAAACCCCATGATTAGCTATTCCTCTTAAGGGCATTGGCTCAAAAATGCAACCTTAATAAAGCAATAAACCAACAAAAACACTACTCAAAACCTTGAAATCGTTTCAATACCATAAAGAATAGACGTTTCTTATAGTGAGTCGACCTCAATGCTAGTTGAAGGCAGTTCCATCCCAACTAAAGCATATTTATATCAGACTCAGATGAAACAGTGTTAACTATCCTTGTGCTTGAAGATCAAACCACTTCCCGCTCTCCTGGAAATTAACACAACATTAGAAATGAAGTATTTGTTCAAGGCATCGTTATCCGTCCAAAACTAAAACTGCAGCGTTGATTCCGACAGCGTTGTGGTATTCAATTGGACCACAGGAAACCCCATGATTAGCTATTCCTCTTAAGGGCATTGGCTCAAAAATGCAACCTTAATAAAGCAATAAACCAACAAAAACACTACTCAAAACCTTGAAATCGTTTCAATACCATAAAGAATAGACGTTTCTTATAGTGAGTCGACCTCAATGCTAGTTGAAGGTAGATCCATCCCAACTAAAGCATATTTATATCAGACTCAGATGAAACAGTGTTAACTATCCTTGTGCTTGAAGATCAAACCACTTCATGCCCTCCTGGAAATTAAGACAACATTAGAAAACATGTATTTGTTCAAGACTTTATCCGTCCAAAACTAAAACTGCAGCGTTGATTTCAACAGCGTTGTGGTATTCACTTGGACCACAGGAAACCCCATGATTAGCTATTCCTCTTAAGGGCATTGGCTCGAAGATGCAACCTTAATAAAGCCATAAATCAACAAAAACACCTTAAACTCAGGACCCTTTTTTAGTCCACCTCAATGCCAGATGGCTTAAAAATATGCCTTGCCTTACTGAGCATTACCAAAAACGGACTTATATTAAATGGAATTGTTTTAACTATCCTTGTGCCTGAAGAATAATACCCACTTCCTGCTCTCCTGGAAATTAAAACAACATTATCCATTTAAAATGCTTGATGCTTAGAGCTTTGATTGGATTTGGAATTAAATTATTAATTGGGCTTTTCTTTTGTGATTTCTTACAGATCTTGGTCAGCGCCATCATCAACTCGGGACCCCGTGAGGACTCCACCCGTATTGGACGTGCCGGTACCGTCCGTCGCCAGGCTGTGGATGTGTCGCCTCTGCGTCGCGTCAACCAGGTGGGTTCCTTTAGAAGATTGCAATGATCTTCCCGGATTCTGGTGGCCGGTAGCAATGGCTTGTGGTTCGATTGGAGACTGCCTGCTTATAACACTTGGCTAGATCGAAATTCTATCTAATATCCGTAGCGTCATAATGTGTAATTTAGCCGACATTTGGCGTATGAAACGAAGAGACATTTTCACTCGACTACAACAAAAATTGTTATGTTTTTCAAACGCTAAAGGACTTCTTACTATGTGAACCTGTTTATATGCTTACTGATCTTATGTTTTCTTTCTTTTTAAAGGCTATCTGGCTGCTGTGCACTGGAGCTCGTGAGGCTGCCTTCAGGAACATCAAGACCATCGCCGAGTGCTTGGCTGATGAGCTGATCAACGCCGCCAAGGTGAGCAAATGGGTCTTTTTGGATGAAAAACTTAAGAATCGGGCTGTCTACTCTAATGTCTGGCATTGTCCTACCGAAGTGCCTGGCTTCGCTTGTAGACCAGATCGAGAACCTTGTTCTGCACTCTGAGTAAACCCAGGATATGAGCTCCGTCATTGCTCATATCCTCATTCTGGTGTAACAGTTTGTCACTCAAATTAGTCCAATCTAATGCTGCATCATGTTCTATTTATGTAGTGTCGCTTTTGGACAAAATTAATCTCCAAATCTCTTATTATCCTTGTGCTGGTGGCCACATAACTCTGCTCTATGCACACGAGAAACGTAAAAGAACATTTATAAAAATGTATACTTCAGTTTTTGCTCTGAAATCTTTGGGTCCATTCTAATTCTGCATCGTGGTTTAATTATGTAGTCTCGCTATGGACCAGATTAATTCCCATCCTTTATTATCCTTGTGCTTGTAATAGCATATCAGTTCAATGCACACGAGAAACGTAAATGAACAATAGCTTTAAATAGGTTACAATTAGTTTTTAATGAAAACAAAAAAACACCTTTTAAATAATTGCTTATGCTTATTTATTTTCAGGGTTCTTCCAACTCGTACGCCATCAAGAAGAAGGATGAGTTGGAGCGTGTCGCCAAGTCCAACCGTTAAGGAGAGACATCATTACCAGCAAAAACAAACTTCTGTCTGTTTTTTTTTATACAAATAACGTGTGTACACTGCGAAATGATACACTAAATTTAAAATAAACAACAAGATGAAAAATCCAATGTAGACCAATCTTTTTTTTTAATAATTTTAATTGTTAAATAAACTTGATTGTCAGAAGAAACTGATATTCAGGATGTTTTTAAGTTCTCAGATGTTTTTCTTTTAATGAATACCTTTTTATTGAATGCATATGATTTTATGTCAGGAACAGGTAAACCTTGAAATTTTCGGTTTTGCTTAAAACCACTTCCATTCCATTGATTCCCCAGTCGCCTTCCTCTCAATTTCTGGAGTGGCCAATTACTGGCACAATTTTATTTTTCAATTCTGGTTAAAACCACTTTTATCCTAATGAGTTAAATTAATAATTTTCAGAAAACATTGGAAAATTCATTGGGTTTAAGGTTTATATGTTAGTCACTAGATTTTTGAGAGGGTATCCACATTCAGTTCTTTTTTGTCCTTTTGACAACCCTGTACAAGTTGATCTTCTTCTTCGATTGCCCTAAAAGCACGACTTTTCCAAAAATTAGGTCTGGCAGCACTGTTTTCAAAAGCCCCGCGAAGCGCGAAAATATCTATTGGCGATTTTAACAACCGTTTTTGGGGAAACTTAAATTTGCAAGTTGCCAAAAGAACCCACCTTTTTTTTTTTTTTGGGAAAAATTCCGGTAAACGCAGAATTTTCTTTAAATAAAAATCGATTTCGACCAGTGGGGCCGTCCCCCAAACGAGGCGTTTTGGTATTGTTTGCGGGAGAACGCCACGTCCACACTGAAGCGCAAACCTTTCAAACTTTTCCTTTTCCGGGATCTGAATTGCCATTTTGCCTTTGAATTGAGTTGTGTTGCGTTTTCGTTACCAATTTCCGGTCAAGTGTAAGATGTTCAGAGTGGATGCCGGTCCAGAACTAGAAGTACCCAACGATAATCAATTGAACAGCCAGTAAGTAGAGCCCACCAATCCTGGCAAGAAAATGACACATAAAGAGACTTTGCCATGTAAAAAAAAGGTGCAACTGCTACACAATAACAAATATATAATGCAGATTCCACGAGCAGAAGCTAATAGAGCAGTTCTGCCGGCAGACGCAACTGCTCAAGCTGGTCGAAGGCTCCTCTGGCCGTTTCGTGGCCAACTACCGGCAGTCCCGGCGGCCGGAGGACCTGCTGGCCCCCATCCAAATGCGCCTGGACTTCAACTACAGCCAGCTAATCGAACACTCGCCAAAGCTCCTTCAGTTTATCGTCGAGGAACCGCTGCAATTCGCCGAGGCCGTCCGGTACTCCATTTACGGCCTGGTCAGGTCGCATCTTAAGTCCGCCGGGCTAAAGGCCATAGATATTAACCAACTACACGCTCAGTGGCGCCTGGTGGGCTTGCCCCACACGCCGGGCCTTCAGTTTGAGCCACGGGACTACTCGCTGCGGCTGGGATTGGCCCAGATCCAGGGCATCCTGGCCGCATTCACGCCACAGGAAACACTGGTGTAATTTGGGCGGCAACTTCTAGGCTTGAAAAATCACCTGACAGAGAAAAGCTAAAATTATTTAAAAGTCATAAAGCCAGGGGTATCTGCTTTCTTATATCCAGAAATTCTAGATATTTTGTAATAATTTGTTATGTTGAATATCTGGAGACTTGAATTAACTTAATTAATCATAAAGCTGCTCTGTCAGGGTATTCCGAGCTTTGAAAACCGAAGAGGTAAACTGTTTTTCCTGATTTTCCACAGCCTGCAATCGATCTGGTACTGCGGCAGCGGCTGTATGCGCAATGCCATACAGACCAGCTCAACGGATGGTATGTCCTATAGACTAGGATCGCACTGAAACCCCAAGCATGAACTCCAAATTGTCACAAAATAACCTTTTCATTTGTTGATTGTCATATCATTTGTTTACACTAACCAACCATTCATTAGCATGTTTCCTTTTATTTATTTCCCACATATGTAATCCTGTGCCATTTCTGTTTGGTAAGCGATTTCAAATCCTTTTCTTTGATGCTTTCCAGCTCCCTTGTGTTCGGGCTGCTCGCGGCCCATGAGTGAATACCAAAAATTGCGCGTAACTGAAACTTATCGCCTTCTAGCAATCTTGCCCAGCTTTGCTGTTCAGACTCCTCGCATCACCGGTTGCCTGCATCGTCCTAAAATAGTTCGCCTAAGAGGTTAAATTAAACTGATTTCGAACATCCTACTTTACAATAATGTAACTCAATTCTGTTTTATAGCCCACGCACACGACTGTGATCTTAAATTAGGCGCCAGCTACTTAATTACCTGTTATTTCTCCGGATCGGCTACAACATATCAGCTAGAAGCATGCCATCTGGAAAGCAATTAGTCCGCCGTCGGCGCATTGCCGTCAAGCTGCAGGACTTCTTGCGCGACGACGACGAGCAGTCACCAATAATGCCATCTCCTTCCCAGTCGCAAGTGCAAACCGCTGAATCGCAATTGCAAAAATCGAGCTCCATAGGGTATGTTACTCTATTCACCATAACACATTCCATTGTATTATTATTTATATAATCTACAGCACAATCCCATCAAATGGGCACCTTGAATCCGATGTGACACCAATCATGACTCCAACTCCGCAAAGCGAGGATCAGGAGAAGGACGCTGCTGTGAATTTGCAACCAACTGTGAGTGCTTGGCGCTTGACTGGAGAAAACAGCCAGCCCGATGAGAACTATACACCGGATACCGAACAGTTTCCGGAGTTGGGAAAGCGATTGAAGAGAGCCAAACAGCCGACGCCAAATTCAGAGGAAGATGTTGTCATCTTAGCACCGACTCCTGGTCAGCGTTCGCGAGGACGTCGCGGTCGCCCATATTATCCTGTTTTGGAAAATTTCATTCCAAAACCGGTGCTCCCAACAGTGGACAATAATAGTAACAAGCAGCAATCGGTGGCCAAGTGGCTGGATTCCGTGCGTCCTAGTGACAGTCAGCCGACAGTCAACAATCAGGCAAATGGTTCGCCTCCAAAAAGCGTCATTATCTTGAAAAAGAATTCTACACCGCAGCAGACGCCAAATGGTGTTGACCAGCTTGCTCAGAAGCAGCAGCAGAATCCTCCTAGCGATCTTATACACCAGCAGCAGCAGCAGCAGAATATTGCCGTCAATCCACCACAACTGGAGCCACAGCAGCAAAAGATTACTCAAAACTCTAGTCACGAACAGAAAACCGTTGGAAATTTGACTCCACAACAGCAAACTTCGGCTGGAAACTCTACGCCGCAACAGCTAAAGAGCCCTATCATAACTTTAAAGCAGCAGCAGCCAAATAGATCTGAAAAGAGTCCTGACAATACCATCCAACAGCCAAAGAAAAGTCCCAATCATTTCAACCAACAGCTGCAGACGAGTCCCATTCAACAGCAACAGCAGCAGAAGATCCCACCGAAAAGACCTGGCAATTCCTTCAATCAGCCACCGAAGAGCCCGGTGAAGAAGGCACTTGGTGTCTACAATTCCTCGATTCCAGTTCGCGTTGACACTGGTTTGCGCAGACAGCGGCCAACGGAGTTCACCCAAGCTGGTGCTCACAGTGGTGGTGGTGGCCATGAGGATAACGATGTTGTGCCGCCGACGCCGAACGCCCAAAGCCAGAGACCCATGTCGTGGAGAATTCCACGACGTAACCAGAACCAACGTAGTCAGCAGTGGATGAGCCAGGACATTTGGCAATCCTCGCCAGAGGGATCGCCAGAAGATTCAACAGTGGGATCGCCAGGGGAACAGATTGTGCAGCATCAGCAGCATCAGCAGCTGCAGCAGCCGGGAAACACGCCGATTCGCGACGTTCGGCAGTTGGCCATGCACAGCAGACTGAACTCGAACGCCAAGGAGTTCCGACCCGGACAGAATCGCGCGACCGGAGGAGCAAATGACCCAGAAATGTTTCAAGAGCAGCCAGCACAGATCTATAATCGCGGATGCCGAACTACCGTGAGTTGAGCCACTTTATCATATAAAAATAGATTGATTAACCCTATCTTTTTGGCAACCACAGAGAAGACGTCGTCGCCAGCGGATTCTGCGCTCTCTAATTGCGGAAAACTTACGCTCGCAGGCCGCACAAAATCCAGAACGGAGGCAGGGACTCCTGCCCACACCACCGATACCGCCGAATTACTACGGCAGTGCTCCAGTTTACCAGCATCCTGTTCAAGCAGCAGCAGCACCACCACCACCATCTGCTGCTCCTCGACCGCTGGCTAACCAAACAGCGATGTCGCAGTTGGCCCCCTTGCCACTGATACCACCAGAAACGATTCAAATGAACACCAGCAATCCCCCGTCGATAGTCTATTACAATCCGACGACGGGAAGTGTTTGGAACGATCCACCGGCGCAGGTTGCCATCGATATTCGCAATCGCAATGCCAGCCAGTCGGGTTTTCGGCTTGCCAGCCTCCCATGCACTGGTGTGGGCACCCTCGATACGGATTTCTCTATCAGGCGATTACGCCACAGCCCACCCCACAGCCCCCTCCCATCCAGTATTTCCGGCCCGAGCCAGTTTACGCATACTCTCAGTTCCCCGCCGATGGGAGATCGGCGGCAGGCGGAGGGGGTGGAGTTGGGGGAGGAGGAGGAGGAGGAGGAGGAGGGGGAGCCGGATGCAAGTATGAACCAGGTCGAGCCCCTGTTGTACAGCGGGCCGCTGTTGGATATGGACCGCGAAGATACCCAGCCGGAGCAGCAGGATCCCCTTTTCTCGGATTGGGGCTCGGTGTGGCACGCCTCGCAGCCTCTCCTGCCCGACGAGCCAGGCGGCGAGCCCAGCGACGCTATCGCTAAGGATACGGATCCTCCGCCGGACGAGCGCCACAAGATATTCCGTGCGCCCGTCGAACACGATCCCAAACCAGATTTAAACTGTGTGCCGTCGACCATCAAGAAGCTGCATCACCTGATCTCGTCGCAGTATTCGGACTACTCATTTGTCTACGCGCTGAGCGCCCAGCTGAGCCAGGAGTGCGTGCCCATGGATTGCTATGTCTACCTGAAGATGGTGCTGCTGGCCAGCATCGTTTCGATTGAACCGGACGAGGTCCGCGCCCCGATATCGCTGTGCATCATTGCCACCGACGGCCTGATGACCAATCGCCTGATGAGCAAAGTGGGCCAGCTGGCTCCACGTTTCCTGGGACCGCACGACCACGGACTGCAACCGACCTTCAGCGCTCTGCCGGCGCGCTTCAATTGGGTGGTGGCCAGTCCCTTGCTGATGGCCCAGCAGGGTGTTTACTACGCTGGCGACTGGACGCGCTTGTCCAAGGAGCAGGCCTGTCAGCTGGAGAAGTGCATTGAGAACGGAGCGGTACCGGTGACCCAGCTGCAAATCGATCAGCCCCTCGAGGCGGCCGTGTGGACACACTGGCAGCCGGAGAATTCAAACAATCAGACGCTGGTCCTCGCCAAACTGTGCCCGTAAAACAGACAATATTTGTATTTGTTTATTTGAATACTTATTTTGATGATATTGCAGAATCTTTGGCCTGCCCATTTATATGGGTGATCAGGTGAGCGACAGCCTGTGGAACCTTATAATCCAGCAGCACAGTGCTGAGGGACAGGATGTGGCAAAAGATGGCCTTAACATTCCCGAGGACGACATGCGCATGCTCCTCCATCTGCTGCACCAGCGCAAAACCTCGTTTACCGATCGCGCCCAGTACATGCTACAAAAATACTATGTGATTTCCCGAAAAGAGCGACCCAGTAAGTTGAATAACATATTTCATACGATTCAACATAAGAAATGTATAGGAGCTGAATTCGTTTTAACCCAATCAAAATAATGTTACAACGAATGGTCAAGCTCATCTTCGTAACCCATTTGCTGTACTCTTCTAATTAGTGACACGAATCCATTGCCGCTCTCTTTTCCAGATGTCTTTTCTAGCAAGACGTACATTGTGCTCAAACAATTCGCCGAATCCTTTGCCAAACTTGCCTTGCGACTTGAGGTTCTTGAGGCAGATGTCTGCGTGGCGATCTTCCATTGCGAGCACTTTGTGCAGCGCATTTTCGGAGCCAAGGAGCACTTGCCACCGCCGTCGGTGATCACGTTCAATGTGATCTCCCGCATCGATCCGTACATGAACGAATTTGCCCGCTGGCTGCTGCAGTATCTGGATTGCTACGAGGACGAGGAGCTGGGAATGCAGGCGGCCAAACGTCGGCGCACAGACAGCTGGAGCATGCCTTAAATCTTTTGGGGAAAAAAGAAAAAAGGCACTACACTCCACTTAGTCCGAAAGAAACAACTTGCCATTGATTTAGAAGTATCCTAGATTTATAACCATTGATTACTGGGATATTTTCAATACGTTTTGTAGTTTTATATAGATGGATTTACAACATTTGTATGTGTAAACAAAATCGGCCCTGGGGCCAGACAATACTACCTCTAATGTATTCACTATTTGCGTATTTCAAACAACACCTGAAACGCACTCAAGCAAAGTCAAAATTTGTAAACATTTCTTCTTTCCATTCGCTTTTCTACTTGATTCATTCGGTATATGTTTTGTGTATATCGCTCTGCAATCGCGGATAGCTCTTAAAAAGTTATATGCGTGATAATCACCTAATTTGTCTTTTGAGAATAGCGAAGAAATTGTCCAAATTTTGAGTCAAAATGTTGATTAAATTAAATGGGTGCCCAAACGTATATTTATGTTGATTACTTAAGCCCTGTGATAAGGAATTCCCAGAAAAGGCAGTGTTCTTTTTTCATTGGTCATCTTCATAACAATCATTTACGTGCAGTAAATTACGAATAGTTATGTCCCAATAACATCAGATGTACCTAGAAATCTTAGTTCTTTAATAAAGAGAAGAAATTTGTTTAGTTTCAAAATAAAATATTTAAACCATTTGAAGTTCAAAACGCTATCTTTAAAAAGGTGCTATAAGCCATTGTATTTGAAGTATTATTAATTTAATTTAATGTATTTTTAAATCGGTTGTACTTTAAACTTACCAATTTATTTTTATTTCCAGATCGAATAAAAATCATTTGATTTTCTAAAAAAAACAATTATTTTTATTATCTAGTTTGTATTGTTACACATATTAAAGGTTGCTTTAAAATAAGTTTCATGTTTCTCAGTTTCTGTTTTGCTTTTGATTATCCTTTCCAGCTGCCTGAGCAAATCGTTCAAAGTTCAGTTTTAGTCTTAGGCGTAGTGATGGGCAAATAGTTTGTCCCCTTATCTTCCGATCCAATTCTATCAATTATACATTTATCAAAATATATGGTATATTTTTTATAAAATGTAATAGTTAAGCATACAATTTAATATAGTTAATAGGTAAATTCACGATGAAACTTCAAGTGTTCAAGAGTCATTTTGGTTGATACATTTAAATCGTTATACAATTTGTATATGTGTATGATAGATTAATGATATATACGCGATCGTACAGATGCGTGACCAATAATAGCAGGGCCCCTCAAAAATGCATGGCCTTAAAAATATTACTTCCTCTTAAAATATATTTCAATAAATTTTACTTCAGCAGAAAAAATATTAAATTAAATTAGAAATTTCCGTAATGTTTTTTGTGGTCCTGCTATTATTGGTCAAGGCTCTATAAGGATATCCATATGATTAGGATTAATGGCGGTGTTAGTAGCATGGGGCTGTCCTTGATTTACATGTCTTAATCTATCGATAGAAAAATAGTCCTTAATCAGAATATGACAAAGTAAAATACATACAAAGTACATAGTAATATAGGTCTATAAAAAATACGTTCTTGACTTTGGTCCAGTACTGAAATCTCGGATTTCGTTAGTTCGCCAAAATAAAGGGAGTTACATATATGTAGGTTCCTTTTGCTCTACACATGGGTTGAGCAACGTGTTTTTTGGTCTTACATGGCTACTGTTTTGTTTAGCTGCGCTTATAAATCAAAATCTTTTCCATCTAATGCTGAGACTGTGCACTGGGCAGAAGTGTTAGGAGTCCTCCGCGCCGCATCCTCTAGTAGTCCAGATTACCCTGGGCTCCAGTGATGATGGCATCGATCCAAATGCGCGCCGCCGAATCGGATGCAGCCTGCAAATTGTAGCTTCGCTTCTTCGTTTTTACAATGAACGTGCAATGTGGTCGGCCGCTCTTCGAGGCATTCAGGTGATCCAGATAGACTTCGTCGATGGTCTGCACACAAAAAAAAAAAAGGTTCTTAATTAAATATAAATGTATGCGCAATCATGTTTTAAAAAAGGTTATAATCCATATTATTTTGTTGATCTACTGAACTGCATATACACATTTGTATTATTTTATATGAATGTTTTTGATTTTATAAAATCTTATTTCTGCCATACTCACTGCAAAGTAGGCGCCGCCTCTGGGCTTCCTCTCCGACTTGTCCGAGTAGTAAATCAGAGCGCTCCTCTGGCGATCCAGGACAAACCAGCGCCTCGACCAGGCATGGAACGTGGCCCCCAATTTGTGAAGGTAACTGAAATGATCAAATGATTTATATAAAATAATGCATTCTTGATTTTCGAGCAGCTGCAGCTTACCCGCGACAACTGTGGGCGTCCACGAAGACATGCGGACACAGATCGATTTGGTGGCCGGCGGTCTCGATGTGATGGCGCAGATTCAGATCCGGCGAGAAGATGGGCAGGTAGCGGGTGAGCGGACGCTGGTGCTTGGGCAGGATGCGCTTCCGCTCGCTGGCGGTGCTGCCGCCGCTTCCACTGTTACCGCTGCCGCTGCCCGCCGATGCCGTGTCCTGGGAATTGCTGCTCGCCCGCTTGTTCTCCACCGCCGCCGGTGACGAGGACGAGTCCATTCCGTTGCCAAACTTGGGCGCCTCGATTGCCACATCGCAGTTGTTTGCCTCGGAAAGGGGGCGCGGACTACGGGCCACCATTTGATTGCCACCACCCAATCCTGCGCCGCCACCTACTCCTCCGCCTCCGCCTCCGCCTCCTCCTCCAATTCCCAGGGCAATGGCATGGTGCTCCAATTCCGGTTGCGAATGGCGTTGCTAAAATGGTAAAGAATCATTAATTCTTAATAGCTTTCCATTGCTTTGTATATTGGCTAAAAATAATGTTTTCCCAATAAATTTAATATTGCTTTGCATTTCGTACGTTTTTAACATTTTCCCATCAATAAACTTAAACCTTTGACGTTGTTTGTTTTCATAATCATTTTCATTACTTTGGCACTAATTTTCTTTTTTCTTTGCTTTGTATTTTAGATTAAGCTTGATTTTATTTACACTGTTTTTACAATAGAGATCTATTTCTATAGGGATAACTTTAAGTGGCATTTTGAAAACCACACACTCATTTTTAAAAAAGTCTTTCAATTCGACTCACTAGATAGTACAACTCATTGCGCTGGCGTGCATTTGCATCGGTGCGTCGATGCTGCACGTAAGTCATCCACACGGACATTGTATCCACGAGAAAATCTCTTTTGGCCAAGCCGGATGGGAAATATTCTTGAAAATAACACTTGCGCCTCCAGTGGAAATGGGCGACTAACTGAGCGATTCGCCGACAAAAAGAATATGATGATGAGGCGGCCGCCGCGCTTCTTTTTCGACTACCAGAGACCACTAGACTTTCCGACGGATCTCGAATGCGAAGGCGCACATGAACATTGTCCAGCAGCCGGAGGATCGAGAGCCAGATCGAGGTAATTATTGAACGTTATGGGCCGCGGATTTTTGTGGCCAATGAACGGGCGAAGATAACGATGGCCAGTCTATTGGCGAGATTGGAAAACGTGTAAACAAATAGGCCGAAATCGAGGTAGAACGTAAACACGGCCGAGAAAATAAATGCGAAGCACACACGTAACGCGTAACTAAGGAAAAGAGCCGCCAAACGGACAACCAAAATAAAACAAAGACCAACAGCAAATATTAAACTTATTAATAAGTGTATGTAGTCCATATAGAATCCGCAATTGAGAGCACGGCGAGGTGGTGGGGTGTTTCTTTTAAAATAAACACACACCCGAAAATAAAACAGCAAACGAAATGCCGAGGCGGCCGACAACTCGTGACTAACGAGCTGGCAATGGATTTGATCGTCATCCAGAAGGATGAGGCAGGTGCACTTGGAAAAAATATTCAATCGATGACAAAGTCAGCTAAATAAAATGAGCGGGCTTATTTATTCGCCACCTACATCTTAAGATTATATATTACATTTGTTATTCTATTTTTCCTAGTACTGAAAATCACGCGAATTATTTTGCTAAAAACAGATAACTGGAATTTTATTTCGAGTGCATGGCAAAGAGAAATAAGCTTTCTAAAATTACCCACAGGATCTCACTCTTACTCCCACTATTTCTCTTACTCTTAACCCAGATATCCAAAGCTCTTGGAATTGATGTCTTCGCGACTTTGTGAACTTGAAAACCAGCGCACAAATAATAGGGTAGTTCAGTGCTAATGAACAATTAAATTCAGGCAAAAAATATATTTAAAAATATTAATTTTCAATTTAATGGGAAGTCATAAAAGTTCGTATACAAAATAAATTTAAACAAACTGAAATCCTAGCTCGTAAATTAGGATACTTAGCCCAAACAATAACAAGACGATAATGAATGATATGGAAAAAGGGGAATTACAGAGAACCAAGAACAAAGCTAAAACATGACTAAGTCTATTTCTCTTGAAGCTCTGAAAACCAGTCAACAAAAACAAAATGGAAGAGTGTAAATACCAAGTACAAATGGGTTGGCTGAAGAAAAAAATATTGAGCGTATAAAGTACGATAACAAATCAAAATATATTTATAATACAATTGTACTGGTGATTCATGCTTAATATCTTACAGAAAACAATAAGATAGGAATGCAAAAACTATTTCCCATAAAATAACTACAGAGTATCCAAAAACGATTTTAGCTTTATGATTTTTTCAAGTAGTACTCGAGTATTAGTTTAATTGTTAGAAATTAGTAGTTCAGCAATCCAGTAAAATCGATCGAAGCAAAATGAAAACCACTTCAAGGTAAAAGTTACACTGGTAGTCATTATTATCGGTTATCAGCTCCATTTATTTGAACTATATCGTTATCTGGGCAAAGGTGTCTAATAAACCAACCAAAACAATGCACACGTTGCCTTATCTCAATCGCTAAACCTCATATGTAGTGCACCTTTCTATGTATCTAGATATGAACATCGCAACAGCTACAATGGGGAATATTTAAAGTAAAAAAAAGAGAACCTATAGTTGTTGTCAGCAAGAATCGAAAATATTATTGAAAAATCAAAACACCCGTCATGGCGAAATTTTAGCACCATTAATCAATGGTTCTGTGGAATTACAAATTCATGGCTCTTCACCAAATACCCCTTGTTTATCGACAGAAAGGAAATGGCACATAAATTGGTGGGTGGGAAAATGAATGGGTTCACAACGCAGTTGTATTTCTCGCTCACGAAAATTTCCCGGAAGCCGGAGGAAAAACAAAAAGATTACAATAATAAACACAAACGCGAAAAGCTCTCGTATTGTTTGGCCTAGGTCATCAATTTTGTTTGGAGGGGTCAAGCTCTAATCTTTTTTTTTTCGGTTGATTCATTCCAACTCACCTGTTGAGGTGTCGTTCCAAGTGCTGCTGTTGTGGGACTGCTGCCGGTTGACTTTCTGTTCTGCACATTGTTCTCCTTATCGCCACTGGTCTTTTCCACCTGCTCATCTACTGCGGTGTCACCTGGTTTATTGAGCTTTTGCATCTCTGTCTTTTCGAACAATTTCGCATCTTTGCCGCCGCTGCAAATAATGAGAGAAATAGAGAGATTTAATAATGGGTTGGTTATATGGAAAAAGAAATTGCTATATATTAGGTATAATATAGAAAAGGTATATGGGATAAGCAACTAATCTCTTTTTTAAGAATCAGCCAACGATGAGCTAATCAAAATCTCCCAAACAAAAATTGTAATGATTAAACAGCTTCAGTTTAATGGCCTTCATATCTGATAAATAATTATTTCTAACCGAATTAAATATGATTTACGCTTTGTTTTGATTTAGATAGTTAACCACAACACACACACAACCAAAACCGGCACTGATAAGGCTATTTACTTGATCCACAAGTTGCTCTGTTTAATTTTTAACCATGCATTAAGCATAATGAAACCACTGGCTGAGAAAGCTTTAGTCTTTTCCCGGATCACAGCCACTGCCATTGTTTATCTTTACTATTTGATCATCATACCAGCAGGGAATCATCGCGTTGATTCGATACATTATTTATTTGGAGTGACTCATTCCCGAATCCGATTTCCAACTGCAAAACCGAAAGCCGAAAAAAAAACTGACTAAGCGGGCGGACGGAATGGATGTGAATGCACAATCCGAAGGCAACAGTTGGCACACAATTCAACGATTCAGACACATAGATACTCCGGCAAACGCACACTTGGATACGAAATCAGCTGATAAGCTTATCAGCCACGGTACACGGAGAGAAAACTGAACACATTTTCAAAATTTGTTTAGTAAAAGAATAAATATTGATTTATCACCCAATGAATTCTGTTTGTGATTTCAAAAACATTAACTTAAATTTGATAAAAATCAATTAAATCAATTGTTGTTCTGTTTTTATTCCTGTGTAAAGATATATAGCAAAAAAAAAACTGAGAAAACCAAGGGAAATAAATAGAATAAGAAGCTACTCAGGTAACGTCGCCGTTCGATCAGCAAATGTGCACTAAAATAAAACTCCAATCGATGGAAGTTTATTATTTGCCCAGTCGAATGTCGTCGCTGCCTTTTATTGATTTTGGTGTGTGTTTTGTTTGGGTTTTCAATTCAAAATTCAAAGTGAATTGACAACCGGTTTGTTTTTTTTTTAAGAGGGTGGAGTGGTGGCCGCACATTGTTTAGCTATTAGCCACAAAGTTTGATTAATTATAGAGGCGCGAGTTCAATGAGCAAACCAAATGGCATTTTCAACTTTACACTGGACGACAAGATTTCTGTTCAGCTGCGAACTAAATCTTATAAATCAGAATCAATCAAGGGTTAATTAATAAAAGACACTTATGCCGTAAATATAAATTGACCATTAAATAATCAACAATCAATTACCTTCGAATTTTGACATTGTCAAAGATAAGATATTAAATAATTTATACTAAACAAAAGAAAACTGAACGGGTGACAACAAGATTGGCAAATATTAATTAAGTTAAGCTCTCAACGGCACAACTACCAATCGAAAGGGGTATTTTCCATTGAAGAATTAACTCTCTTGTGAAGAATTCCAGTGTAGGAGGCTCCACTCGAAGTGCATCTTTGTCGTCGCTGTTCGGGTAATTAACTCGACGGGGGGCACACTTTCAATTAGCCAAGGGGCCAGTGGAGTAGAGGGCTGGATGTCGAATGGGGGTCAACTCACTTGGCATTCGGTTCCAGCTGTTGCTGCTGCTGCTGCTGCTCCACCGATTGCTGGGTGGAGAGCAAATACTGGGTGCGGGCTTCGTCGTGGCTCTTCTTTTTCAGATCGTACATCTTTTGGCGCTCGTGCTCAATGACCTGATGCCCTGCGAAGCGTAACAAAATATAAGTAAGTCAGCCAATTGAACTAACCAATAACTATTCATGTAGGGATTTCTTGTTGAGAAAATTTAATTTTAAACTTAAAAAGAAACATTAATGAACCGAATTTGCTTGTAAAACCAAGAGCAAGAGGTAACCAAATCGGTTCTAAGAACCAATCATGCAAAACAATACTAGTTTTCAATAGGTTGCCTACTCTAATTTGGCAAAACAAGAATTTGTAAATGACTTTACCAAACTAGTTCTGTTTGACGTAATAAAATACTTTAACAATTTAAATGCGAAATAATCTAAATTCTAAAAACATTTTCGTACCCTGCTGGGCCAGCAAAAGCTTGCGATTGCGTTCGATCTCCTTGATGCTGTCGAAGATCTTGGTGCTGGCACCCTGGCTGGTGGAGATCGGGGCATCGTTGGCCACCTTGCAGCTGCGATCGATGTCATCCTGCGAGGGAACGCGTCGCTCCAGCGGGTTCACTTCGAAGCGATCGCCTTGCAGCGAAAGATTGAAGCTGATCTGCTCGCAACTGCCGCCGCACAAGTCCTCGAAGAGCTGCAGCGGCAGACGCTTGGGCGTACTGGTATTGGCCTCGATTTTATGGTTATAGAACATATTCTCGTTCACGCTCTTCGACATTAAGTCCTCCTGGTTGCGTCGCTTTGGACAGAGCAATTCAGCGGATCCGAATAGCGATTGCGACATCACACCGTTGACCAGATTGCTGCCACTCGATCCCGGCGAGCTGGGCGAACCGGGCTCCTCCTCATCCGGTCCGATTTGAATGCGCAGAGCGGCCAGTTCGGCTTCGAGGGCGAGTCGGTGCTCCTGCCGCTTGAACTCCTCGTGGCTGGCATGATGCTCGGACTCCTCCTCGAAGTACTGGAACTCCAGGTCCTCGAAAGTCTTTCTATCGCTCTCCAAAGACTCGCACACCAGTTGCAGTTCCTCCTTCAGGCAGGCATTGTTCGGTTTCTGCTTCAACATGGCGCGCAGTCTGGTTGGTTAAAAAAGCAACAATTAATATTTGATTTGATTTGAATTGTTTATGGGTTGTTGGCTTACTTCTTTAGCTGATCCTGCTTCATTTCAATGGACTGCTTCAGCTTGGCCTGCTGGTTCTCCTCCATGACGCGAGTGGCATTCCTTTGGGCCTCCAGCCGACGAACTCGATTCTGCAAGGCTTGCAGTTGAAGGCGCGGCGAGGCACTGGCGGCCAAGGGCTGTTCACCCAATTCCAACTAAACAGAAATCATTGGTTAACCAAAATGTATAATAAAAGTCATTGGGAGACACTCACCTCCAGTCCCTCGATGCCCGCTGAAGGCGGCAGTTCGGCCAGTTCCCGCTTGAGCTGCTTGCGTCGCTGGATGAGCTCCCGCCGTTGTCGCTGCTCCAGATGAATGCTCCGCGGTGCCGGAGCTGGCTTGCGGTTGGGTTTCGGCGACTGCGTCTGCGATTCGACGGCCTGCAGGTTCAGGGTGAGATTGTTGATATTCTTGTTGCTCCGCTTCGCAGGCACCAGACGATCCAATTGCTGTTGCTTCCGCTCGAAGGACTTGAAGAGCTGTTCGTAGTCACGCTGCTGATTTGGCGCCGGTGGCTTGGGGGCCAATGGTGGCTTCACCAGGCTGGGAATGGGAATGGGTATCGGTGCGGAGGCTACAGCTTGGGATGGCTGAACTGCCGGTGGACTGATGGCCAAGGCAAAGGCATTGCCAAAGGACACATCCTTTTTGGGTGACATGCAATTGGTGCGGATCTTGGTCCTGGGACTCTGCGGCACATACTTGCCACCCGTCGTCGTCGTCGTCGTCGTTGTGCCCGAGTTGTTCTGGTTCAGGTTCAGATTTTCGTGGCTCGCTCTCACCGCCGCCGTGGGAGCCACTCCACCACCAGAGGTAACTGCTCCGGCTGAGCCACCTCCTCCTCCCGCTGAAGCCGGCACATGAATTTGACCATTGATCTCGACGCGATTCGGTCCCAACAATCGAACATTCTCGTAGCCCGAGGAACTGCTCAAAAGCGAGATATTGGCAGTGCTACCCGCACCTGCCTGCTGTGGAAACGGTGACTTATTCTTGTCGCGCGGCAACGAGCCATTGGTCTTGATGCGATTCTGGACAATTGGCGATGACGTGATGCTCGAGGCACTCGATGTATTGTGTGTGGGAGCCATCGAATTGTTGCGATCCGCGTACTCCGTGCAGATTTTTAGCATATCCTCCAGTTCAGCTCCGCCTCCACCGCCTCCAGAGCCAGAATTGTGGCTGGAAACCAGACCATTGTTGATATCGCTATTGACGCCATTCATCGAGTAGATCTGCAGGCCACCCGCCTTGGGATACCGGTCATACCGATCGTTATTGACCTTCGTGAGCAGATCCGGAGGAGCTGGGTGCTGTTGCTGTTGATGTTGCTGCTGCTGCTGTTCCTTGTAGATCGCCGCGTTGCTGGGCACATTCCAGTAGCCACCGTTGCTGCCCACTCCCTTGGCAAACTGATTGTTCAGCTGCTTCTCGTTGCGATGATTCTCGGCGAGATTGCGGGCAAAGCTGGCATACTTCTGGCCCAAAACATCTTTGGCCGGCATGTTGACCGTGACCAAATCGGAGGAGAACACCTTCGGGCACTCCAGCTCGTAGGTCGACTGATGGTTAATCGGATTGATAATGCTCTCGTAGAAGGATTCCAGCTCCAGCGATTGACTCAGCTCGTGAGCCTGTCTCGCCGATTGCGTAAAGTCGATTTGCGGCATCGAAATCCTCTCGTTGGATCCCATTGCCGATCGCATCATTTGCGCCTCGTCCGGATTGTTGAATCTTAGATAATTCGAGTTGCCAATGGTGATCATCGCCCCCTGGGTGAGTTTGGTCTCCTCCAGAATGGGAGTGCCGTCGATGAGCAGGCGGGAATCCTGTTCGGGAACCAGAGTCACTTCGTTGGCGTCGCTCCTGCAAAGGAAATAAATCATTTTTAGATCTATCCCAATCTGAATTTATGTTGTAAAAGCACATGGTGGAAAGTATGTATCGAAACATAAACTTAAATACATATGCATATCTAGGAAAATTAAATAAGGAATAATATATGTACCTGTAGATAGTGCAGTGCAGAGGACGAACCCCACTTCCATTCAAAGAGATGCTGCAGCTGGCTGCCGATCCAATTGTAGTGTCACCTGATTGGGATTATAAGAGAAATCAATAATATTAATAACTAAATTCAAAACCGAAAGTTTCACGTTTGAAGTTGTGTTCGGTAATGTGAGCTTGGAATATTTGAACAGTCTGTTTAACAGTACTTCTTATCTGTTTTCACATCTCTCTCTGATTTTTTTGGGAATAAAAAGCATTGTATTCTTAACTTCACTCTGCTTTGGTACAGTGGTATTATGGATGATTTTAACAAACTTTTTTATAGGATCCAAGTTTATTCTTTCACTTTCCTTATTACCTGTATTTTTATAATTTATTAATTACAGATTAAACTTTAAAAGAACCCCTAGACAAGTATTGTAGTTCATTATCTAATGTCATAAGTTCTTTACTTATTTCGAGCCCATTTATGAATACAAACTTTTTTAAAACTTGAGCTTAATTTCAAGCCCATTTTATTTAAATCCATTGAACACTTTTCATCCCATTGTAAACTTAAAAAAAATGAGCTTATCGCAGTTTGCTCACCGTTTTTGTTGTCTTTTGTGCGTTTCTTTCGCAAGACTTTTTGTGTGGGGCTTTGCTACTTGTTGTTTTTTCTTTTTTTTTCGGTGTTTTGCTTATCGCTTTACAAATGACCTTGCGAGAAGAGAGAGACGGAGCAGAGAGCCAGAGAGAAATACCGCGCACGCGTGGCCGCAGCAGCAAACAAAACACAAATGACACGAGTAACGGTGCGTGTCCAGTCCCCCTTTTAAGAGATGGCCTCGTGTCACGAAAAATTTACTGCAGTCACGTGTCACGAAGAAATAAAAAAAAGTTTGAATGAAGAGATAAGCCCCTTTTAAACCTAAACAAAATTGGTGAAGTTATGGGGCTCTGGAATCTCAGATCTCGGTCACCCTTTTTAAAATCCAACCATCCAAAATATACTACTCAGCACTGAGATAACAATTCTCACTACTATTAATCGTACCGCCAGGATTTGCCACACTCACCTATGTGTATGTAGTGGATGGTGACGGCGGTGCTCAGTCGTCCGCCGCCCAGAGAAACGAGATGCGGATCCGAGGCGGCGACTCTCAGCGACGGATCCTTTTTGGTCAAGGACATCTGCAAATAGGAATAAAAGGAGCGGGAATTAAAAGGACGCTCGAACGAATACCGGGAATGTGCCCAGTGTGATATGGGAGTTGCATGGGCAGCTGGTCGGTAATTGTTATTGGGTTTTCTCGCTTCCTTTCTTTCTTAACAGAGTGCCGTTAAGGGATTTCAGGGGTGTCCTAATTATAAGTGAGTGTATGTGTGCGGGCCAGCACGTGCTCATGAAAGGGAGGGAACTCCACAGCTGTGATAAATTTTTGCAATTTACTGTGTGGGTACACGGAGAAAAAATGTTATATATTTCCGCAAACACTTTTTTAAGTGAGCAAACAAATATCTTAATAATTTACAAAGTCAGTGATACCTTGCTTAATATCGTAAAAATCCCACATAAAAGATTTTTCAAAGCTTTCTTATTTAAAATTTAATTTCAGTTACCGCTTGAGCTGCGTACAACTGTTTACCAACTTCCGAATGATGTCATATGCAGTGAGTAGTGACCAGTGACCCCCCAATAGCCCCCTTTTTGTTTCGATTTCTGACTCAAACTCACGCACTTGCAACTGATTAAGTTGCACTCGCACAGTTAAAAAAAAAAACGTATAAAATATAAAAAAGCAACGACAACAACAACATCAATCAAAAAGCGACAAGAAATGGTGGAAAATGATTTATGCGCAGTAATATGAATGAATATATGGTTGTGTATGTTTGTTTTATAGATTGAAAACTTTATCAGACAAACAACGTGCGCTCCCATTTCCCAGTTATCCAATGTGGACACATAATGTGGAGCGGACACTATATGGCCGCCACTCACGTTGCACCAACAACTATGTAGAGATACCGGAGTTATGGAATTATCAATGACATGATCACGATGACCATAAAATCATATTTTAACAGTGGCGTAAAGGGGGGTTTCCCACCCAAAAGGAAATGGTTTTCAGAAGAAATCTTTTAAGTTTGAATTAGGATGATAAATGATTTCCTTATATTATTTTTTCATAGTCATATGCAAGCTTTTTTAGAGTTTAATTGATGACAGTGTTAGCCACAAATTTTATACAAATTTTCTAAAGTCTTAGCCACCGAAAACCCCCCGGGGTAGGCCACTGGATTATAATGATGATCATGATGCCGCCACTTAATCGCAGTCGCCTTTTTGCCGTCGACCACTTTTGGTGTTTATGACCCAATTCGGACTGTTTCAGCTTCGTTTGCTTCGCTCCCGCTTTTCGGAGGGAGAAATGCAGGCCGAGTCATAGAGATATGGAGCCAAAGGGGGCCCACATTTCGTAAAAAAATATTTGGAGGTGGATCGCCAGGCGGAAAGCGGGGTGGGGGAACCCTCAAACGCAACCATTTCCGCGCCCCAAAAATAAAAGTGAAAACTTTCAATGCTGTGGACTTCCATGTATCTCTATCTTTTTTCCCCCATTTATAGTACTCTTGCTTTTTACCTGTTGTTCTGATTGTTTTTTTTTTAGTGTATGCGTGCCTTATCAAAGGCTGCATTTTTATTTATTTGTTTATTGTTGATTGATTACTACTCGTAGCGTATTCACCGCCAATGATTGAAGCCAACATATTCCATATATTCCATATCAGAGGGTGATAAATAAAAGGTGATGGAATATATCGATAAAAACTTGAGAGCTTTTGATACAAAGTTATAAAATATAAGCTAAATTACTTGAATGTTTTTGCATTGATACGTAATAATGGGGAGTCATGTGCAATATTACATTATAAATTGCGAAATCCCCTATCAATTATCGGCATTTTTCGTGCAATTTGTTTTTTACATTTTCCAGTTGCATGTCAACTTTAAAATTCAATTTCTTAATCCAATAAGCGCTGCTTTCGCTTTCCGTCTAGACGTTTCTTCTGCATATTTTGTTTTTTTTTTATATTTTTTTTCGTTGGTTTTTGTGGCCCCATCATCATCAGCATCATTATAATCATAATGATGAGGGACTGTGTTGCTGTATCATCAACCGATCATTACAACAAAACATTACGAAATGCATTTGGCTTTTGCTTTATTTTCCTTTCTTCGTGCCTCCCTCAAATTCTGTGGCACGTCATCTTGTGTGACTGAGCACAAGAAAATATCGTCAGAAAAACTAGAGAAAAATCCACAAGATGTGTAATAAATTACGCCGAAGAAAGGCGAGACAACAAAGGCGAAATTAAAGGGAATCAAATGGGCTGGAATAGTCGATGGATCGGGGCGAAAAATAAAGACCAATCCAAGTCGAAAGTGAGTCAGGCGAAGCGCCCACAAGATGCGCTCCCCCAATTGCCTCCTCTCCTTCGATTTGTGTGCCTTTGTAGGCTTTTTATTGCCGCCAACAACAAAGGTATTTCAATTTTATTGAGATAAGATAAAGGTAAACGGAAAATCATCGAGAGAGTCGGCAGAGATATGCCGCGAAACTAGCATTATGTAAAAGCTCTGCGCGATAACAAACATACTTTTTGTACAGTGGAGGTTAATTCATTTACCAAGGTATGCAACCTAATAGGTATACAAATTATTACTTTTAATTAAAACATTTAAAGGAAATGAATAAAAATATTTTAAGTTTAGACTACAATACCTTATTATATACTTCTTTTAAAACTCCATTAATTTAACCCCCGCTGTGCATAAAAGCCAAAACCATTAGGTGACACGTGTGGTGAGGATGGGGAACTCGAAAAATGGTACACAAGGCATCTATCTACTCACAAGATAAACAATCAAACAAAAGAGTGTCAACGCAATTAACAGTTTCCCTTTTTCCCTCATTTTTGCCATCCCGTTTCCCTTATTAACCCCGAGCTCCCCTAGAAATGCAACGCCTTTCCCCCTTTAATACAGCCCCCTTGCCTTTCTCAAAATCCCCACACAAATGGTTCGACTTTAGCCTGATGAGCTCCCTCCGATGATGAATACATTTTTGCCATTTTTAGTTGACTTTATTTATAGAGAGCAAACACAGCTGGTAAATATACCTCCCTTTCTCCACGTCACTTACACAGGAAAAAAAAGCAGATTCTTTTATAACGATCATCAAACCAAATAATAAATTAAACTTTATGCTGATGTTTTTTTTTTAATTTTTAAATGTTCCAGCTTGAATCAATGTTATAAAATTAAAAAAAAATGTAAAGTAATTTTTCGAGTGTACAAAAAATATATATACACAAGGTGCATTAGCTAGCCAACTGTCAATATTTTGAATTTGCAAAAAACTCTGTTTATTTGCTTTTTGGACTGCTGTCAGTTTTGGCTCCATTTCAGTGCCAAAAAATCCAACGCATTCCACAGACAAGTTATTTTTTCGTGGGGCTGGTGGGCGTGGTCCAAAGGCCTTTGCTAATGGCATTTTGCTGTTTCAAAGCCAAACAAATGCGAAATGTAAGCCAGAGAATAGTTTTGCTTGAGACGTGACCTGAACAAGGGAATAAAACCCCTTTGGATATAACATATGAGAACTTCCGGTAAGTGGAACTTCACTTAAAAGAACCACTTACGATTCCATTGCACGTTCTAGGGAAAATTCAAAAGCATAATAGTCATAGTAAAATAATTAACAGGCATGACAATGTTTAAAAACAATAAAAAAAAAATAAAATATTTTTTTTAATCCAACTCAACATATGATTCATAATATCAGCTATATTGGCTTACCTTGTCTTGGGGTTAAAGCATATTTGTTACGAGCCCCATAAATAAATGCTGATGTTTACCCATTTGAGTACCTTAAATATCTCGAGACCTTCGGGGACATCAAATAGTATTAAAAGTCAAATGTGGAACACCGTTTTTATACTAACAACCAAACAAGAGACATATGCATATGGCTGACACAATTGCGAGCACATTTCGTGGCTATAAAAATATAAACATAATTATGTATGCAAACAGAAATAAACCATTTTTTTTTGCAAATTGTGAATTAAAATCATTGGCGAAGCGTAACCGAGGCAAATAGAAATTAGACCAAAACAAAATACATACATAAGTAATACATTTAAAAAAAAATCAAGGGGGACCCCCAATAAATTTTCGAAAAAATTTATTTTCTGAAATTTGAAAAAGCTGGTATGAAACTATTTTCTGGGGCTTAACACATTAAAGACAATACCTTTCCCGTTTTTAAATCTTGAATTAAAAAGCCTTTTTCTTTTTATAAAAATAATAAATATGTATGTATTTATAATACGTTTAAAGTTTAGCCAAGACTTTAATAATTTTTTTTCTTTAATATAATAAAATACACCTTGTTTTTTATTTAAAACCGAATTGCTGGCTATTCAACTGGCGAAGGTCAGTCGGCACAGTTACGTGCGTAAAATAAAGTATAAATAAATTACAGAGACCGCAGGTAGCGGAAAAAGGGGAAAGGGGGGAGGTGTACGCCCATGCCTTGTGCATAACAAAACACAGCCCACTTTTGACACCACGCCTCCTCCTTTCCACACCCCACCTCAATAATGTGTAGAAAATATCGTCGCGTTCAGTTTACCTGTCGCAAAGTTGATGATTGTCAAAGGGTTTTCAACTTGTTCCCCCTTTGTTCTTTTGCAGTGACACAGTTTTGGTCTATTAACATGTTCAAAACTCCACCCACACAAAGAGAAGGGTAACTGTGAATTGTGGGCGCCATTTAAAACTGTCAAAAGGCCGACAAACACGAAAAAAATATTCACAGAGATGACAAGAAAAATGTATGTGTATATAAAGAAATTACAGAGAATCTCGAAGATAACAATTTATACAATTCCGAGCACTGTATGTTATTTAAAGATTTCAATTGAAAATATGTACTTTTTTTTGCAATTAACAAAATTGTATCTCAGGTCATCTCTAATCTTCGATCTTTGATGAGGTTATGTGGGGGCTTTTCTGTGTGTCAAGTGGCTTGTTAATTATGCTTATGATTTCGAGAGAACTGCCCAAAAATGGGGAGAAAAGGAAACTACTCTCGAGCGACTCTGGGGAAATAGAAAAAAAA